CGCAGCGTTGTGTCGTGATGGCGTTGGTCTGTAGCGCACCAGGACCCCCCTCCTGCCCGAGCAGCTCTCCCGTCGTCATCTCCTCGCCCTGTCAGATCCCAAGCGGCCCCTGATTGGTGACGATGAGCACGTGTGGAGCGACAACGGTGTGTTCAACATCGAGGGCGGCTGCTACGCTAAGTGCATCGGCCTCACCGAGGAGCGGGAGCCCGAGATCTGGAAGGCCATCAAGTGAGCAGCAAACGATTAAGTATTTACTGTGGAATCCGAATCCCCTAACATTCCAATCCACAGATAATAAAGTACATTTACCACTTCAACGCTGATTTCAGTTTGAAGGGCTTTAGTTTAATGATAACGTGTGACGTATGATGGACGCGTTAGGTTTCGGGGTCGCATTAACGGGGGCCATATCCGTCGGAAAATTTCTACAGCAACTATGCGATACCCTCTCCAGGTTCGGCACCGTGCTTGAGAACGTGGAGATTGACCCCGCCACCCGCGAGGTGGACTACGAGTCGCAGAAATTCACGGAGAACACCCGGGCTTCCTACCCCATCGAGTACATGGCCAATGCGCGCATCCCCTGCGTTGGCGGCCACCCCAAGAACGTCATCCTGCTCGCATGTGACGCCTTCGGTGTCCTGCCCCCCGTGAGCCGCCTGACGCTAGAGCAGGCCATGTACCACTTCATCAGCGGATACACAGCCAAGGTCGCCGGCACGGAAGTGGGCGTGACGGAGCCACAGGCTACCTTCAGCGCCTGCTTCGGCTCGGCATTCCTCATGCTTCACCCGTACAAGTGAGTGCAGGGTAGCACTGCACCAACGTCAGTCCTTAGCGCATCTCTCGGATCTGTCTCAGCTTTCCGAAACCGTCACTCTGGGGCCGCTCCTTAGTCGTCTCTGAGGCTCAGGCTCAGTTATTTGAGGCTCCAGAGGGATCCCTTACGGGTGGTCCACGTGTTACTACAAGTTACAAGTTACAAGTGCCGCACGAGTGCGGGGGGGTCCGTCAAAGCCGGGAGGCCATGGACTATATATATTGAAAGTTGATTACACCGTACGACCGACGGCGG